ATAATAAACTAGCAATTTGAAAGATACGCTGCAAGAGAAAAAAAAATGAAAGTAAATAAACACACTATATACAGATAAATACCGGAAACAGTCGGAGACAAAAAACAAGCTTCGTGATAAACATATCCTTTCTTTGATAACGTCCACACCGAGTTAGGAGAAAAGAAGTAACACTATAAACTGAATAAAAAAACTCCGGTTAGTGGAGTAAAAAGATATTATCGTAACAATATGCTGTTCAATAAGGTGACTAACATTTTTACACATTTTCCAGTACCTTCTATGTGTGTGTGCGTGTGATGTAGCCCTACTATGACGGATACTTATGTGAAATCAGCGTGTTAATCTCGGCCTTACGCATAAAGAAGGATCCTACCTATCGCTTTACCGTGTGTGGATTAAAGTGTGTTTACTATCATTGTATTGGAGGTAAGTGTAACCGCTGGTCTTTTTTGGCTTAGTAGTTAAAACAGAATACTTGGACAAATTCTTAACATTGTATCGGCTAAATTTATCTGTCGTTTTTAAGTGGAGCGTCACTTGTAGTTTTGAGAAATTAAGTTTTGAATCTGCTCTCGCTGTGTCTTGGGTGTCACGCATGTAACATAGCGTTTAGAAGCGATCCTGGAGTAATTGATATTTGGGATTGTTGACTATTGACATTAAGTGTATTTCCTAACGTTTTTGGAACTTTCACTAAGGACGGGTACTTTCAAGCAAAATATTAGATGAGAATACGTTACTAAGAATGAGTTATTTCATTTAAGATCAAACGGTCATTATATTTTTATCTTAATTTTGTGATTCTGGTTGTTCTTTCGGCAAAGCTAACTACTAATACAATCATGAAATTAATGATATAAATAATGATATTTACTCAGCTTTTACTTTAATATCTATATGATGAATTAACATACTATCTTATTACTGGGCTATTATCTATTAGTAGTATTAATACTGTATTTTTTTAGTCAATTATTCGACCTCAATGTAACAAACATTTGCAGTAATACTAAAAAATGATACATGAATTAGAGGTAGGGGAACTTAACATATTTGAATTTTCTTGGGAGTATCGTGAGAAGTAAATTTTGTGGGATATTAAATGATAGTTGATTTATAGGGATTTATGTCTTTAATCTGTATAGGATACCATAAGCCTAATACAAGCTAAGGAAAGACGTAGTTTATTGGTGGATTTCTATATAAGTAAGTCCATACTTTCCTATTTTGGCTCTTGTGATTATGCATATCTATAGCTATTACTAATCTAATGTAGTTGAGTATTAATTAGCTAATTTATAATTGTTTATTCGATGATCGTTGGGTCTTATGAGTAAGGGTGGTGAACTTAGTACCTCTTGCTATGCCTGGATATGTTTACATCTATTCCTCTGACTGTATAGAACAAGGACTATTACATTCTATCAGTATATTCTATTTGAGACGAACTCAGTCCTCGGCGATCCAATAAATAATATTAATCTATTCAATGCATGGCAATAGATTACCTGGTCTGTCCTAGAGAGTAAAATAAATATAGAAAAATGTAAAGATTAGATATAAACAACTTTTAGAAATATATTATGATAACGTAGAAAGTTTCGGAAATAGATTAAAAGATGCTTCCGTATAAAATGCGTTCCTTATTTTTGTGATCCAAAGTCACACCCGTATGTTGGGAAAAACGATACATTCTGTGAAGAAAATAATCTTAGTGGTTACATAAAATAGATTTTTACTCAGTAAAAATGCTTTTCAAAAAGGTTGACACAACTGCTGTTCCCTGCTTCTGTGTGTGAGGAAGAAGAAGATCCACACGAGCACGGATATTTGATAAAGCTGGGTTATACCTAACACTAAGGAGAGAGGAGAACTCTTCCATCGTTTCGAATTGTTTTGTTTACAATCTAATTAGTATTGAGGTAAGTTGTAACCGCATGTCCTTTTTTGGCCTTAACGTGAGAGTTAAAGGAAATCGCTATGAAGTAAGAAAACTCTCAGGCAATCTACTATAAATTGAACACTAGAAAAAATTATCTTGTCGATTATTGAACACGAGAGAAACTAAGATATAAAGTTATAGTGAGGTGTGAGAAGATTATCTAAGTTATGAACATGTTAATATGTCTCGACCAGATTTACAGGTGTATAGATAGTAAACCGAAAGAGCTGGTGAAGTCACGATACTGGAATCATTACATTGGGAGAAATAACGTCACGTTATACCTAAAGAACTATATATGAGACTTTCTTGGAACGGTGCCCTCTCTAGCACAATAGTAAAATCGTCAAAGAGACCTTCATATACTATCAGAAAGCATTGATTTTATCTCTAATCATTGATCATGGTAATGTCTTTCGCAAAGCAATATTATATATATATATATATATATATATATATATATATATATATATATATATATATATATATCTTTTAGTAATTCACTCAAGTAACAAACATTTTCAGTAATAAACATTTTAGAGGAAGGACATAACA